TGAGTGTTTTTTGGTGTCGTTTCTGTGTTTCTTATTGGAAATTTTGTCGTTTTAACACACGAAATATATATAAAAAGTAAACCTTTTCGTAACAGAACACTCGGCAGACACGCCTTGGTTATCATTTACTTTTGGGTGGAGGCAATGCTTCAGTGAAAACAGTGAAAGCTATTCATATTTTGGCTCTACCCGGATTTAGATTTTAATAAATCTGTCAAAATACTATTTTTCTTTCTTTACTTCTTCATTCTTGTGTTTTGTTTATAGAAAATTTAGGTCTTGTAGGTCTTGTAGGTAAGGTACTAAAGCTTGATTCTATTCTATTGTTTTGTGGAATGTTGTAGCCTAGAAAGTAGTTTTTTCCCCTCCTGTATAAAAATAGCCTATTATGTGTTTTTAACAAATAACTAGCCGCATTTTTACTATAAAATACTAGAATTATTCCGGTAATTTCTCATAAAATTCTTTAACTTATCAACCTTTTCTACAAGAAAACAAGTACCAAATTGACTTATAATTATAAAATATACCGGAGTATAGTCTTATTTTCTTGTCGATTATACTATAATTGATATTGTACAACTCTGTACCGATTGTAATTAAAGTACAGTAGGTAGAATACACTTTTATTCCACCTTGTATGCAATTTTAACGTCATTTTCTACAGGAAACTGTGAATTAAATCGTTTTCTATCAATAAAAATTCTCAACAATACACAATTTGAGCAGGAAACAAACCGGATATCTGAAAGCTTTCAACGGGCGATTTTTTAAACAAGTTTGTACACGTTAGAATTTTCTATTGTTTCTGATAATTTATCTAATTAAAATTCCCTCACATCATTTCTAAATATAACCTCTCTCTCTCTCTCTCTCTCTCTCTCTCCCCCGGAAACGTACAGCAGAGTGGAAGGAGGGGGAAGGAAAAATCGAGCCCTCGAATGTCTTTTCGCCATGTTGATGACACGAAATCAAATCCATCCTGACAGTTATTATCCACACATCAAGATCTAATTAATTTTGATTAGACAAGCTCTCCTGCTTGACAGAAATGACTAACAACGTTCAAAATGGCATCTGTTAAAAAAGAAACTGACATTTTATTTTTATTTTTTTCCTTTATCTCCTCACGGAGTTCACACGAATTCACTCTTACTCATAAATGACGTGTCACCAATGATACGTCACTTATGAGTAAAATTTAAATTAAGATTATTCGTGTGTTTTTTTAATGGTAAAATATGTAGAATAGTCATTATTTTTTTAGTTTTTTTATGTTATAATTTATGCTTGATTAGTTTTATGCACTTTAAAAAAAAAAATCATTAGCATGTGAATACCATTCGTAGATTGCGATAACGCAAAATTATGCAAACATTACTTATTAAATACGATAAAATATATCATTAGAATCGATTATTCATACAAATACAACATAATTAGGGGTGAAATCGTATATATTTACGAATAAACTCGCATAAATTGGTTCTTTGAAAGGTGCAAAAATTACGTATTTCGGGCGGTTTTATATTCAAATTTTATATAAAAAACTTGCCATTTATATAGATTAGAGTCATATTATGCAGAAATTACGTTAATACACTCAAATTTATTACGTCAAAAACATTAAACATAATATATACTTCAATACAGATGTTAAACAGAAGTACAGATGAATGTATATATAAGTAAGGCTCTATAGATGTAAATACACAGCCCAAAATTTAGTTTACATTACTTATGTATTAGTTTTGACAACTAACTTTCGGACCACCCTGTAATTAACAGTAAAAAACCCTAAATATAAAGGTATAGTTAATAAAGAACTATATAAATCCCTATACTTTAGAGCAAATTTCGTAAAGTTAAGTTTAATTGAGTAAGACGAATACATAAAACTATAATTGAATTCGTTAAAGGGGGGAAGGGAGATGGTAGAAAAATATGTAGGAAAGAGGGTGTAACGCGATAAACCCCTTGAGCAGCAGGCAGTAATTTACTAATGAGGATAGCATTTAGGAAGTTTTATCAGGTATAGATCGATTATGGTCGATGGATAATCGAGTAAATTCTGATTTGTCATCACGTTGAAACTTCTAGGAAATTAATTGAACGTTAGTTAAGTGGGCCATTTATCAACGTGTTCGTATAGGAAGGAGGTTTTATCTTGAATACATTTTTTTCTTTTCTATATGTAGAAGAATAGATTAGTTTTTCGTCAATGAGACTTTTCATTAAATTTTGATAAGGTAAATTGGGATAATTAGGTAAAGGTTAAGTTATAGGTCGAAGGGGTGAAACTACTTAACAGATTTAATTCAAGGAGAAACTTCCATTAGTTAATGATGATAACAATTCTTTACTGTAAACACCCCTCGAAAAAAAAAAAAAGGTTTCTGCCTTTATCTTTGTTCCATCTAATTATTAAAGGCAAATAATTCAGTCTTTATCTCTTAAGTAGAATGCTGTCAAACCACTTTTAAACTATTTTTAATACCCCTTTCGATGATGTTTTTCAATAGAAAATTGTATAGAATGGTTAAAATTGTACATCTTAAACAGTACAATTCCTATGTATGATTGTGTGTAATAGGATAGGCCTCTACGCAATAGGCATTTCTCTTAAATATTTATGTTACGTGTACTTTTATAGGGCCTAAATTTGTAAAAAAAATACCCCTTTCGATGGTGTTTTTCAATAGAAAATTGTATAGAATGGTTAAAATTGTACATCTTAAACAGTACAATTTCGCTCCTGGTATATTGTACATCTTAAACAGTACAATTCCTATGTATGATTGTGTGTAATAGGGTAGGCCTCTACACAATAGACATTTCTCTTAAATATTTATGTTACGTGTACTTTTATAGGGCCTAAATTTGTAAAAAAAAAAAATATAGCCTAAATAACCTTCTTCGTAAGGCTAATAGGTAATACATAACCTAACCTTAATGGGCTAAAAGTATACAGTTATACAGTCTCAGTAATGATTGTTATAGAATTTTAATTGTTATTTTAAATTAGGCCTTCATTGTTTACAGTTATCAGGCCTACTAACTTGATTTAGGCCTTAATTTATTTAAATTAAATATGGTAGTTTCTTCGCTCTCGTATAGTCTTGCTGGTACTTGAGTTCGTTTGATGGAGTGGATTTTATCATTTTTAATGATGTATATTATATAATTATTAAAGAATATACTTAATTTGTTACATACGAACTCAAGTGGGTTAAAATCTAGTGATAAATATGAAGGGCATTGAAAAAAACACAGCATGAAATAGATCCGAAATTTGGAATTAAACGTGTGAAAAGTGTGTTTAAATTCGTAAAAATTACCATAATTAAGCTATGTAGTATGTATTATAGCATTAATAAGTGACCTGTAGTGTTTATTAAAGGTTTTCACATGTATAAAATGTATGGTAATTTAGAAATTATAGCTAAGATTTCAGAAAATAGCACGATTATTCTCATTCTTACGCTTACTTCATGACTTAAATTGAAGCATCGTGATCTCATGCACACGCTTGTATGCTGTTTCTATGACAAAACCTCATAGAAACATCACAGTTCTTGCGTGCAGAGAGGAATTTCATGCAAGAAACCACTATTAGAATGTAGATAAGTAAATTATCCAGTGAAATTACAGTATAAATTACCTTTATTCAATGCCAAATTTCATTTCTTAACGACAACTTTTACCATTAATTTCTACGCGCTTCAATATCAGTCGCGATATACTTCACTCCCTCATTAAAATATTTCAATTCATTTACATAATAAACCTGCCTCTTTATCCAATACTTTTTAGTTTATTACAGCATTAATTACGTCCACTTTTCTTGTTTTTTTTTACACAAAAACTCATGCCATACGCTGGAATAATTTGGTTTCAGTAGGTGCAGATTGGACCAATGATTTTTTCCTAGTCGCTAGCAATTTATCAAACATAAACTACCCTCGCTTTATCAGACGTAACTATGTTCCATTTAGGGAGGAGTTAAGGTATTTATCTGCCAATCTGCCCAAACAGACACACACAGAAGGGGATAGAGTTAAGGGGAGAGAGAGAGAGAGAAAAAAAACATGATTGACATGATCATACAGGAATCTCTTGTGTTGTTATGTGGTCTACATGTTTATAATGCGGGTCTAGAACAAACAGATTGTATCCTCGATGGGGTGTGGGTATACAAATATCCAGTCGATTATCAAGGCTATAATTAACAACCAATCGACTCTTCTTATCCGGACTTAATTCTTAAAGCGGGCCACCACCTGTAACCTGTATGAAATGCTCTTTTTTTTCTCTGTTACTATTAATGAAGAGATGTAATTAGGTGTATTCATTGCTTTATTTTAAGTAAATGAATGTAACTCCAAGGTTTAAATGACGTTCGGCCCACGTACAGATGAAGAAGAACGATTACTCGAAGGTTGTTTTTTACGTTCTCTTCGCGTATTTATGACGGCAAAAATTAGGGAAAAAACTGTAAAATTCTATAAAATCTGCTGTAAAATATTATTCTGTACGGTAAAGCGAGATTATACCGTACTTGATGGTATCTTCCAAGCGTAAAGTCCCATACAAATCAGACGTATGGCCTACATTTTGTGTTAACAAGCTTATAAATGAAGAAAGATGTATTTAAATATGATCCTGCACGAATTAAATTTAATTTATGAATCATTTTATATGGGGGAATTTAACCTAAAAATACGAAAAATCGCGTGTGATTAGAAATTGATTAATCCAAATGTTTTTATGTGATTTCTGTACCACTATGTGACAATACCTATGAGAAAGTAATGTCTAAAGTAAATTAATTTATATGTTCGAGCTTCCAGAGTGTACAGATCATTATTATGTTAAGTTTTCCTCTACAACATAATAAAATTTGAATATTTAAACTGTTTAAAAACGTCCTCCGAAATGTAAGTAATTGTATTTTTTCTTATTGTTTCAGTAAAGAAAAAAAAAATGAAATTCTGAGTAAGATGGAGTATCGTTATGCCTGTAACAAGTCCAAAGAAAATCTAAACTTCCTGTCGAAACCAGCAACGTCGGGTCGAGTATCACCTTGTCACGATTTGGGCTACCACACGCTTCTGACACGAGTGGTGCCTACGTACGAGTGGTATCCAAACTCGACACCATCTGCTCCCGTTGTGCCTAGATTCACCCCAACTTTCAAAGCAAAGAAGCAACCAAAAACGTCTCAATTCGACAGGTTATCCGATGTATTAATAACCCGGATATTTTCTCATCTTTCAAGTAACCACTTGTGTATCTGCGCTCGGGTCTGTCGACGATGGTACTTTTTGGCATGGGAACCACAATTGTGGACCAGCATTTCGTTAAACAGCGATCGGATCCACGTGGATCGTGGACTGAAGACTCTTTTTCGACTTCTTTGTCGGCATTCTCCAACTGGTTGCCTGGCTGTTGAGAAGATAAATCTAAACGGATGTGGTAGATTAACGGATAAAGGTTTGTTGACTTTAGCTAGAAGATGCCCCGAGCTGAAGACCTTCCTGATACGAGGATGCAACGAAGTTACCATCAACGGAGTGACAGAAATATTATCTCGTTGTCTGAAACTGGAGAAGCTTGATGTAACAGGTGAGTGAGGTTTGCAATCGTCACTTGAATACACATTGAGTACTTGCAGTTCAAATGTTTTCTACCAATTGTAGTAGTTGCAGCAAGGTTCTCTATGATACAATTTTCTACATTTTACATTTACACGAAAATGTTCAGGAGTAGAACAAAAGCTCAGGCTCAAAAACAGAACTAGTCTCGTCGTAGACTATTCTAAACAATAGAGGATCCAGAAATCTTACAGGGGGTGCAATATGACTTACAATCTGCTTTGTTTTAGAAAACCCCAGAGGGATGCAGCTGCTCCTAAATCTACCCCTATAAACATTGCATTCGATGTTTAATACCGCAGCTGATCCGAGACAATTGTGCTCTAAATTCCTTCGTAGACTCACCCCAGGCAGATGTATTTTATTGAATGATGTCTCTCCCCCCCCTCAGTTGGAAGGAAAGAAATCGTACGAGTAATTTAAGAAGAAAACGTGTAATAAGACGTTTAATATGTGTGGTGTGTGTGATGCGCATTTATGGTTCAAGCCACCAGCTGTGCCTTCCGATCTCCATCTGTCAAATAATCAATCAGAGATATATATAATCAAAGTGCCCGCATAAGCTACAAATTCCCACGGGTTATTTTTGTCACCTCGTTACCTCGGCACTTAAGATAAGCCTAATCGAAGCATGTCTCTTCTTCTAGCTATTAGAAAGGTGGACGTCATCCACCCTAAGGGAATAGAATAAAAGGCGTTTCTGTGGTCTGCCGTCTGTACAGACGATGGATGGTGGAGGCGTGGTTTACTACTATGGCAACAAGGTCACCCTTTTCTATTTTTTTCCACAAAAAAAAATTCTCCTGGGTATTTACATTTTACACGAAACATTAAAGAGGAGCAACTACTACACTACGGAGATTCATTACCATCTTTATAGATCGGGTTTACTTTCCTGTACTTTAGAAAGTTGTAAGTCTCTACAGGCTATTGTACAGGCTACAATGGAAAAAGGAGGCTTTCTATAATGAAAATTTATAAGTTTCTGTAGGCTCGTATAGGTTCTGAAGTCGACAACTGACCTTTATGGGTTTGAAATGTAGGATTTCTGTAAGTTTCTGTAGTGTCTGAATAGAAAATAAGGCTTTTCTGTAAGCTCTGTACGCTCTATATTGAAAAGTATAAGAAAAATATTGGTTTCCTGCAAGTTTATTAGGATCTAAAATAGAAAATTGTAAGCATTTACATGCTCTTATCGAAAATAGAAAGTTATATGACTCCATAGATTCTAAAGTGAGCCTTCTATAAACTAGATTTAAATAGACACTTATAAGATATAAAATCGACAATTTGTCTCTTACAATTCCTTAAAATCCAAAATCTTACATCAGGCTCCATCACACAATACAGTGTAGTGTTGTGTATATTTTGTATCTAGTTTTGATAGATATAAAGGGGTCTTTGTGATGAATTAGTAAATTACTTTTATATTATTTGTAGAATTTATTTACAATACTTCCTCTGATAATAACGTATTACATTTTAAATATAAGATACTTATTACACGAGGGATGTATATTAGAAGAATAAAGAATGGATCCCATTAAATTTTCCATTAAGTTTTGATTACGAAGCGATTTAGTTAATATATTTTGCATAGTAGGTCAATATTTCGCCCGGAGCTAAAAAATTTAACAATAAGATTTGCAAAATAAATCATACCCAACTCCATACAAGTGAAGGTAAATCTATGAAATCCAATTGGAATTGTATTATTAAAATACGCACATTTTTCTTTTGCAAAAGGAAACATAAAAAAAAAGGATAGTAGACAATCTTGTGGGATAAAATTCTCTAATTTGGGACGTCACACTTGATAGCATCACACGTACAAGAAACAATAGTCTAAGTATCAAGAAGGCCCAACTTATGTAGAAAGTCTGACAGGCCGAAAAGTAAAATGCCTTGGAGGATAACAAGACATGAATGAAATGTATTCAAGCTGAAGTTAGGATCTTCTGATATAAATTACCATCTTTCATGCGTGGCTCAAGGAAATTTATATCCCCATATCAAAAAGTACTATAACCTACTCGTTCATTTACTTTCGTAAGTTTTCATTAAAGTAAAGGTATAATCATAAAGATAATTAAAAGAATTGTAAATTGAACACCGAACTAAAGTTTCCATAGCGAATGGGTTAAAGCGCAAAAAAATGCAAATTGGGCGCACGATTGGAAAGGCCGCAAGTGTGAATCGTGGAAGTATTTAAGGAGCTGTAGGCTACATCGGTAAGAACCCATAAGCAATGAGAGGTGAAGCCAACGCCCTTTAAAAGAAAGTCACGCGAAGAAGACTTGGTAGAACCCGAGGCGAATCAGAACGGGTAAACAGAACTCAATGCAGTCAGTGAGTTATGGGCAGTCATCGGTAGACCATAATTAAAGTTCGAAGCCCGTCTATTAGCAGTGACTAGTCCTCGGGCTAACTCTGTCCACGCCCCATGATGATGATCACGGAACTACGGTCTCACTCGCTTGTCACCCAGACAAATTGCTATTATTGTATTAATTTTTAACCATTTTGTGGTTTATTACTTGTTGTAGATGCTCGGGGATGACCTTTTTTACTTCTGTCCTCGTTTTTCAATCCTCTAGTTGGGTTTTGAATCTCTTTTACACGGACAAAAAGATGCTCTTCAACGTCTCTTCATCCCTTATCCAATTTTCCTTTATGTGTCTTAAACAATTACAATTGGATTTCAAGTGTACCCCTTAATTATTTCTTTAAAGAGACATAATACAGTTTCCTTTTTACTTGTTTCTAAATCCTTTACTAGTGTATAGTAACGGGTTATCGAATTAAGGGGATAGAGTTTACGAGATTTTGAAAAATTACACGAAAATACACAGGGAATAAATCTGAAGTACATTGTATCTATCTACACCAGAATGAATTGCATTCATACATTTATAGAAATCGTATGTTCTATCACGATAGGAGGTCGAAGTCGCTACTATACAAACCGCATAGAGAATGCGGTGTCTATGACCTTCTACCCCCACCAGTGACAGCAGACATGTTTATACAGTTTACCGCCAATGTTGGAGTGACATTTTTGACCTAACAGGTGATAAATATTTAAACTTGAGGTTGACATCAAGCTGCGGTGGTAAATGGGTAGACAATTTAATGAAAGATCCAAGGGATCAGCTTAAGGTCAACTAATTCCAACTGGCCTGACAATTTTTTTCCCCTCTTTACTTCTTTTACACTAACACATCATTTTTCCTTGACCTTTGGGTCCTTAGACATAAAGTTCTGTCATTGGGCATCCTTCTTTGCGTCATTAAATAAGATATTCGTCATTTTTCATACAGGAACCACTGGTACAATTGGGGGGGATTGAAGCCAACCGGCTTATTAGGAACGGGGCTACCCTTCTTTATTATGCATAACCCTGCGGCTCGTGTCATAATCTGATCTTAGGATCAGTCCTGCACTTTCTGATCCCCAGACAGTTGCGCAAATATTTTAATACGTCATGCATAATCAGTAAAATTTATTAAAATTCGAACCACAAAAAAAATAATAATAATCTCTGTATAAATAATATATAATAGCGCGCTTCTCTTAGCATTCTTCTCTATTTGGCCACATTAAAAAATAACGATTAATCGAAATGATCATTTAAACATTCCATATTTTAAATCGCATAATTATACAGAGAAATACTTGAAATAATGCGTTAAAAATAATTAGCGCCCATTACAGAAAAGAAAATAATGACAACACGTTAAAGAATTAATTTAACTCCATTAATTAAATTCTTATCAATTTCATTGAAGAATAATTATTAATTAACTCTTATAGATAAGGTTTTTTAAATTATTTTGATAAGATAAAGAGATATAAAAATTATAATTAGGCATATCCTGTGATGAAAATGATAAGATTTCTAACTACTTTTGGGTGTAAGTCGTTATGACTTTTCTACCCATTTAATGTACTTAAATACATTATGCTGATGATGCTTTGTATAACAAATTGCTTATTATACTGCCACGTTGGACAGATTAAGTCTTACAGGGAGAAAAAAAAATCTTACTCCGAAAATTACTTTATTAAACACACATGTACGGGCATAAATGCGTATTGGGCATAACTTAACTTACATTAAATATATTTTAAGTTAGTTTTTATGGTACAGTCCAACATCCAATAAAGATCACCTGCATACAGAGGCCCTCCACTCGAGAATAACTCAGCTAAAATGGCCCCTGAGCCAGTAAAAAGTTAACCACCCGAACGGCAGCCATTTTATGTTTGCAGTGGTCGTTGTTCGGAGGTTTGACTGTATTACATATTGTAAATAAGCTCTTACATTATAATTATACTATTAAGAGTTACAATTAAGTATGTATGACAATTACTTTTATATATGTACAGTGTTACAGTTATTTTTTTGTGGTGAGAAAAATTCAATTGTTCGTTGCAGGTTGCTTCAGAATCACAGCAATCCAGTCATTGTCTAGGATTAGACAGAACGATTCAGGAAGTGACACGGAGTCGCTCCTGCCAGTGGGGCTCTATCTACAATATCTGGACCTGACAGACTGTCATTGTATAGACGACGAGGGTCTGGAGGCAACAGTTCGTCACTGTCCCCAATTGACTCACCTGTACCTGAGAAGGTGTGTCCAAATAACAGATGCGGGCATTAAGTACGTGGCTAGTTATTGTTCAGCCATGCGTGAACTCAGTATAAGTGATTGCCTGCAGATAACCGATTTTGGACTGTACGAATTAGCTAAATTAGGCCCCAGTCTACGCTATCTAAGTGTAGCCAAGTGTGACCAAGTTTCGGATGCTGGTGTTAAACAGATCGCGCGACACTGCTATAAACTTCGTTACCTTAACGTACGCGGTTGCGAAGCCGTTTCGGATAACAGCGTGGAAGTACTAGCGCGTAGTTGCCCCCGTCTACGCGCTCTGGATGTTGGAAAGTGTGACGTCACAGATCAAGGCTTGAAGATGCTGTCCGAAAATTGTCCAAATCTTAAGAAGTTAAGTGTGAAGTCCTGCGACTTGATCACAGATCGGGGGATACAATTCATTGCTTATTATTGTAGAGGGTTACAACAGCTCAACATACAAGACTGCCCAGTAACTGTTGAGGGGTACAGAAAAGTTAGGAAGCTCTGTAAACGTTGCATAATCGAACATACAAACCCGGGATTTTACTAAATTTTTTGTTATTTAATGCTAAAATTTGGCTCTTTAAAGGCCCAAAAATTAAGCAAAAAAACCATACTTGATGAAATTGGGGTATAGATCTGATTACAGAAAATTCAGGATTTATCAGAAATATAGGGCAAATTTAGAATAATGGGCAAGTCCAACACACTTTAATATCGCTTTAATCGCAAAGTGTCGCTCACGTTATCTTGTTAACACGCCAATAAAGAGTGATCACTTACGTAAAGGCCTACATATTAGATAATTATAACTTTAAAGTTACGCGAACAGAATCACAAATTGTGATAGTAACTTAGTAGGATACGTTGTTAAAATTATTTCAAGGTATATTTATATATACTTTACGTGTATCGTGTTTGTTTATGTCTATTACAGGTCTCAAAGACTTCATATGTGTCTAAGCACCCTTTATAAAACACTACTTTTGTCATGTAATGACATAAAAAAAAAACACTGTTCGTACAATAAATTATACAGGTAAGAACGTGTATCCCGCATATTACAAGAATCAAAGTTACTGCAGTAATAAACACAAGGGCATTTGTAACGCAATAACAACACCAAAGCCTTTCAAGTATCAGCCATTAAGTGTTATCGCCATTTCTACAATTTTGTACTGTAATTTCATAATTTTAACAACAATTAAAATAGTTATACGAAATTAATGACGATTGCAAAATTCTAGAAGTGACGATGATTGCATTTACTCAATTATCCTGTAAACAATGTAAATATCTTTCTGTCATTTATAATATTTTTTTTTAAAAGTAATATTTAATGTTTTAACGTGAATAAAATCGATAAAATAATGATAATTTTATGTTTTTCTTTATCTAAATTCTAATTTTAACTTAATTGGTGTGCTCTGAATTACCCAAATGTGAAAGGGTGAAGGGGAAATTACTCTTTCACCCTTTCACATTTGCGGCTTTTGTGACATATAATAGGTGTTCTACGCTACAAAAATGTCCTTAAAAATATTAAAATATATAATTATTTATTAAACAAACCTTAAATTATTTACATGTCACTTCTGCTGATTCCTTTCTGGTGCATCTTCCATTGCAATCTGCCTGACTTGCACAGAATAAGGCGTTACACGTATTTGATGCAAATTCGGATGATCTCCCTGTTTCGTCTCTGTTTTAGGTCTTGGTAAATTTACAGGTTTAACATCAGAAGAAGACCTAAAACAGGTCATTAGCATATCTAAAATAAGTTCTATCACTTCTACAATAGTCACCAGAGAGAGTCCGAGGCATAGACCTAGTGTGCCACCAATATTGGCTATTAGTGCCGGTGTCTGAGGAGAAAACACCGGATCAGTATCACGTTACTGTACTAGTTTACTTGATAATTTTATATATATTTATATCTCACCGTATATGTGGGTGTTTGAGTCTTCTTTTCGAATGTTAAGTCTTTGTAGTACACGTGTATCCCCATGATGTCTCTGCATGGCAATTTTTTACTGTAAATAGTGTTGTAATTGTTAAGATTATCTATGTATTAATGCGTGTACTTACGTGTAACAAGTGGAGTTGCCACACGAGATTTTTTCCGGGCAATTTTCTTCAAAAACGAACTGGCTATACGAAACACTAGTATCGAACGTCTCCTCGCTGATAGGAGAATAATATTAAGATTTATCATCACCCATCAGTTTCAAATTCATCTACTCACCTGCAAGCGGGATTACACTCGCAATCTGCACCCGAAATCACATTTTCACTGCAGTCTTCTACAAAGAAAAAAGAGTTTAAGAGCTTAAATGTGTTCCAGGCACAATATTACAGATAAGAACAGGAAGCTTCACCTTTATCTTTGTGTTGCCTGCAATGGATCACGTCACCCCTGAGAGACTTTCCAATTCTGATATTTAGAGTGCAATTGCATTGGTCTAACACCTTTTGAGAATGGCAAGCTTTGATGCAACCCTGAAATTGCTTCATTTGTTAACACAGACGTCACCTATCCGCTATATTTGGGTGCGCTCACCTGTCGAGAATAAGGCAATTCTCCAAACATCTCCTCCCAGTGGGGAATGGCCGTATTGGTGGTGCAGTTGCCATGGGGTGGTTGCAGTCGTTCAATCTCTTCCTGTTACGGGTGAAAGGTTAAGCGATACGTTCGCTAATGTAACTGATTAAGTTAATTATCGGTTACCTTCATGATTGCAATGTCGGCTAACATGCAACGTGGCACGTTGATGCCGTCGTCTTCCGGGAATGGGAATTCATTAGGAGAGTGGACGATGGTACGTATGCCACTAGTTCGAATATTCGGATCGGTGTGAGTAACTTTAATCACTAAATGCAAACCTGCAAAGGAAAAAAATTACTTAGCAAGTTTTTTCTTCTGATACATATTTTACTTTTTAACAAATTTAACACTTATTTTTCTTCTAACCCCCTTTTCCAAACTCTACTTCCTCTGAAGAATGAAGAAGGAAGAGTTTAGAAGAGTTGAAGAAGAAAGGGAGAAAGAAGGGTTACTGTAAGAAGAAACACTGCAAGTTTTCTTCGTGTATACGGTAAGAGTGTTTCTAACACAGCTAAATTCACTGCCAAACTGAAATGAAGACGAAGAGCAGTGGCGTAACTATAATGGTTCAAGTGGAGCAGTCACACCAGGATCGATAAATGTCCTCGAAAAAGATGAAAGTCAAATCTAAAAGATGATGATTCCCAGTTTATGTCCAAGTTACGCCACTTAAAATATGTAAGGCTACGTTTATGCCTCTTTGTACTGTTCCTAAGCGCCTTACATTCTTCTAATCTTCAATACGTAGTCTTACAGTAAGTATACTGAAGTAATTTCGATGTAGTTCAGGCCAATTAAATTAGACTAACATTTTTTTTTTTTTTTTTCTAATTTTCACGAATGATTAGTTGGAATATAAACGTTTCCTAATGGTGTTATCTTCGTAGATGATCTAAAACTTGAAATACAAGATCTTCATCATATAATTTCCTTGAATAATTACACATAATGATGGAAACTTGAAGGAGTTAAATTAACTATCATCATTTATCGGATAATAAAATCATTACCACTGGTGGATCCAAATTTGGTAGTCGTCCTTACGCCACTGAACGTGTAGCATTTACCATAATCTTCGCTCTCCCATTCCTTGAAATCACTAAAAAAAAAAAAAAAAAGCATAATGATGTAGTAAGGTAATAAAATCATCTTTTAATTGTAATTTAAAAAAATACATTTATGAGGCACCTGTAATAACATTCGTTAAGGTCGAAACTGCAGATGAGGATTGTCTCTTGGGCGCTTCCATTGTATTTTATGTGTTTTTCGAATTCGAAGTCGCACATGCCGTTTTGTCTAGGGCCTGTAAGAGGCCTTTTCTCTGCCTGAAATCTTCTACCGTTTCCTCCATCAGCATTATTTTCGTTTCCCCTCTTCAAATTAAAATTACTGATTCCGTCAGAACCCTTTACAATTGATAAATTTCTATACAAATGGTTCACATTTTTCTTCGAACTCTCGTAGAAAGTTTCTCCTGTCAAAAAGAAAACAAAAAAGTAATGTTTACCTTCTTCGAAGGACAATCTACAATGTCTACTAATAGGATTTACGTAATGTCGCGATAATAATAATATATTTATGCACGTAAATATGTTAATAAATGCCACAATCGATGCAAGGATTGCATGTTTCAGACGAAATATCATTCACGCAACAATTTGCTACGAAATTTTAGCGTGAAAGAGAGAGAGTGAGATCTAATGAACATTAGTTCAATTTTTTGAAATTAAAAAAAAAGGTTTTAAACAAACCTGTTTAAGGCGGACACTGTCCGTTTTGACAGGTTTTAGTTTATAGAATGTTGTATTTGTTATTACGACTACAGCATCCATTTTCTACTTTAGAGAGGTTTACGGCTTATAATAGTGTTTCAGTTAGTGTAGCGTACGGATTAGACAGGTTTTCGTTTTACATGGTGTCTTTTTTAGACAGGTTTAAATGTATTATATAAAAATCGCGATTAAAAACTATGAACTTACCTGTTGTACGCGGTGGTAATTGTTTATTATCGTTGTTAATATCGGATAATGGCTGAAGAGTATTCTGTGTTTTCTCCACACACCTGAAAAAAAAAAAAAATACAAAATTCGTGTGTTTTTAATACAAAAATGCAAATTTAGATTCTATTTTCTTAAGGTTAAAAATTTACATTTTTTGGTTCTGATAATGGAAATGCTTAGGCTTTAAAAGGACGCATATCGTTATTGCTGGAAAGTCCATTTCTTTCGGATCTTCCATCTGCAAAACGGAATTTCGGACGAGTTTAAACACGTTTAACGAAATAAATTTCAATTCAATTATGCATAAAAAAAAAAGGAAAACCATCCCAACAGCTTCAATAATTAAAATCTCAACAGATTATACAGGAAGAGGAGGATGAGGAGGATGAGGAGGAGGAGGATGATGATGGTTACATGAATTTCAGATGTAGGTGAAGTGTAACGGTAACGTTACGGAACGATTTATTCTTTTTTCTGAAGTGTTGCGTGGAGAAACAGTACCGTGGTCACGAGTTCGGGCCTCGGGTATACACCAATGCCCCAATATTATGCATATAATCATGTGGCTCAATTAATTGCTCTTTTTCCAGCTAATTGAATAGGATAACGCGCTGCTAATTGGGGGTTTTGTGCACAGTGTTATGGGGGCGTAAGCTTAGTGGATCCCAATTTAAAGGGGGTACTGGACCCTTATCGTTGGCACACTTCGTATCTGAAAACGTGTAAAAATAGAGTTACGTATGGGTTAACCTTGTAGTGATGATGGTACGATAATGGGGACGTCTACGGTGACGACGATGGGAGCGTGATGTGTAAAGCGACTTTAATACAAGTGGATATGTAAACCAATGACGTAGTCCGTTTCATGTATAAATTCTCCATATTAATACCATTGATAATAGCCGTTTAGACACACGCGCAGGACTAAATTTATTAAATCGACTTATGTTAGGAATAATGTATCGTCATGGATTTTACAGGGAAATTTTTCAATTTTTCTTCGAAATTTAATAAGGGTCAAAGGTCATCTCGCAACGATTCTTTTACAAAAATTGGTGTAAGAATATAAATTGGCCTCCTAAATCTATCCCGAAATTTTCTCGTTCTCTCAACTTGAATGATTTTCGTGATAATCATCGAACATATGCACAGACAAACAGACGGATAAAGTGACAAGATAAACCTATTACATAAATCTTTAAAGATTTTTATTCAGATACGGTTTTTCTTTAATTTTTTTCTTTATCTAGAGAATTTAATAAAAACGATTTGAAGATTTTGTAGTATAATTTTAAGGTTAAATAAAAAAAAACAAAAAAATGCAATGAACCTCGAAATTTTTACATTAAACACCTCGCTTTTACGACATTAGAAAACCGTCGTAAAGCGAGTTGTTTTTTATATAACAGTACATTACATCATATCTAATTTCCCTATATAGGATATCACTAAAAAACCCTATACAGAAGATTAGCATAATTCAAACGTTACACAAACATAACAGGAAACCCTATATCCTACTCCCTATCCAGAAGATCCCTATACTTTCTCTATATATCCTACTCTAAACACAGATCCTTATACTCTCTTTCTATATCATACGCCCAATACAAGAGATCCTTATACTTTCGCTATAGGCCTATATCCTACTCTCAATACAAGAGATCTTTATACTCTATATTCTACTCCCAATATAGGAGATCCTTATACTTTTTCTATATATCCTACTCTAAACTTTGGAGATCCTTATACTTTCTCTATATATCCTACACTAAACACAGATTATCCCTATACTCTCTCTATATATCCTACTCTAAAAACAGAGATTCCTATACTCTCTCCCTACATTCTACTCCCAATACAGGAGATCCTTATACTTTCTCTATATATCCTACACTAAACACAGGATATCTGTATACTCTCTCTATATATCCTACTCTAAAAACAGAGATTCCTATACTCTCTCTCTACATCCTACTCTCAATATAAATCCCTACACGCTACTTATAGGAAATCCCTCGCGTTACGCGGATCTCCTATTTAAACAATAGGGTTTAGAGACATCATATAGGGATTTCCTGTTATATTTGCGTAACGTTATTTTTTCATAAGGAAGTATTAATTAACATAATGTGACATCTCATGCTATAGTGTCATTTTGACAATTAAGGAAGCGTAAGTGGCTTGTTTTCAGTGTCGCCTAGTAAGGAATTGTTTCATCGTAAATTTAGGTTTGAATCTTATTTCTTAGATATTTTGTTTATTATTTTTACTGTCTATGTTACTTTTCTAATGTAATTTATGAAAAACAAGGTTACGGTGACATTTACTAATTAGTTAAATGTCACCATACACCAATTATCACCAATTATCCAATTTACGTATAAAATATACCTGAAACGTAACGTTACTTTCGCGTAATTCCACTCGATTTTGCAAAAATTAATAAGGTCACTCCGTAACCAGTGTATTATACATCACCTTATTACTATCGATATTAAAACAGTACAAACAGGTAATGAAATATTCGAAATGTTATACACTTAAATTAGCATTTTTAACATCATTAAATTGTAAATAATATACTACTAATGGTGTATTGTTATTATACAAGTTATTCGAGTATTTTCACTTTCAAGTCGCTGGAAAACACGACCTTGAACTCATTTAGAGGCTGTTACGCTCCATCTGTTACTGTAGCAGTTGAGTGATCAAACAATTGCACTGGTTAGAACTAAATAAATTATTATTCTGTGTCCTACTCGAGTGTGTAACTACTATACCGTACCGAGGTCAAAGTTCAAATACCAAAAAAAAGTGTTATCTTCTAGTACAATACTACAGTATATACAGAATAGCTCCCAAAACTTACAAAGTTTAATGCTTTAATGACAATAGAATAACTTAGTAACTGACTGATCAGTATAGGGAGTATATAGAGAAGGACCTACACTAAAAATCTCGATAAATAAATAAAAATATACTTTCATTTAAACAGGAGAACTTATTCTTGATATTCACTTTCGGTTACACCTGGATAACCTAATTGCCCAACGATAGTTTAATGGATTAAACTACTAAACACACAAGTCGTGGGTTCGCACCTCACCTTATTTACGGACGTAGTTTTCCAGATATTATTTATCTAAACAGAGGAAAATTTTCCATAAAAGACCTCACGGAAGACACTTTATACGTTCAATAATATATAAAAATTAATTTCAAGTCTTTATCGATGAGTGTTTCTTCTGTGTACAACTTTATTGATTGAAGTAACGTTTGTTTAGGCGCCGTTTATCAAGTCGACCGAGGTTATAATTTATAAAATAATTTTATAAATTTTTAATGACCCCCTTCTAGTGATTTATTTACACGTAAATATGTTTATTAGTTTCATTTTCTGACGTTTATTATAACTTTAACAATGCATTTTACTAGACAAAACGAATCACTAACAAAATCCCCCATTAGAATTCTATTTACACTACAAATAAATAACTCGAGTAGTGGGTTTCGAGGCCATAAACAAGCGTAAATTTATTATAACACTTTATTTATTAATAAGTGAGTTGATATAATATAAAACCTATTGTCAGTTTACAAAATTTAATACTGGATCGAGTGTATATTTGAGGCTTTCATAAGTGCTATACACTAGATTAGGTACTAGTGTTCCTTATAGCTACTATACCACAAGAATAATAATAATGAAAAGGAGTGACAATGATAAAAAATTACAATAAAAAACAATTGTTAAAATATATTATGTCTTCAAACTCGTTTACTTTCTCTAATTAACAAACACTGTTATCCATTATGACGTTAACAGCTATCGAACAATATAAAGCTGGTAATCAGAATCCCGGGACACAGCACCCTCCTAACCTAAACTCTTAAATACTGAAACTTCTCTGCAGAGTTTAAGCTTCATATTGGGTAAAAGAAATCGTTCCCCAAGCAAACAAGGAAAACACCCCCAATATTTTACATTTCTTTAAGTTTTAAAGTCACACGAGTCTTGGATTTGGTCATTTTCTGACAATCGACATACTTTTCCCTCTGTTTATATAAGTAACAATCGATATTGATATTAAAAACGGTTGTTTTCATCAACTTTACTGATCTTACAGAAACACAGCTTGAGTGCATACTACACTGGCGTGAATCGATATTCGCAACAATCAATTAATTTCTATAAAAATCTATCAATCAAAGTACAAGAAAATTTTTGAAAAAGTGTCAAAAAAAAAGTTTTTTAATACTTCTTCGAACTTTATTTTTGTTTTATTGTTACTAAGAATTGAGAAAACGTGCAATAAATCGTATCGATTCGTCTTCTCGAATTTAATGCTAGTTCTATAAATGAATTTGACCATTAAAGCCATTTACGAAGATTGAAAGATTATTTTCTTCATATTCTTATACAAAAACGTGAAGAACACGTGAAAGGTAAACTTGTGTGTCTTTCTACATTTCCATTGTATATATTTTTAAAAGGATTAATTAATTAATGGGGAAGTCTCCCACAAAATATGTGTCGTTTACTCTCAATACAAGAGATCTTTATACTCTATATTCTACTCCCAACATAGGAGATCCTTATACTTTCTCTATATATCCTACTCTAAACTTTGGAGATCCTTATACTTTCTCTATATATCCTACACTAAACACAGATTATCCCTATACTCTCTCTATATATCCTACTCTAAAAACAGAGATTCCTATACTCTCTCCCTACATTCTACTCCCAATACAGGAGATCCTTATACTTTCTCTATATATCCTACACTAAACACAGGATATCTGTATACTCTCTCTATATATCCTACTCTAAAAACAGAGATTCCTATACTCTCTCTCTACATCCTACTCTCAATATAAATCCCTACACGCTACTTATAGGAAATCCCTCGCGTTACGCGGATCTCCTATTTAAACAATAGGGTTTAGAGACATCATATAGGGATTTCCTGTTATATTTGCGTAACGTTATTTTTTCATAAGGAAGTATTAATTAACATAATGTGACATCTCATGCTATAGTGTCATTTTGACAATTAAGGAAGCGTAAGTGGCTTGTTTTCAGTGTCGCCTAGTAAGGAATTGTTTCATCGTAAATTTAGGGTTTGGATCTTTTTTCTTAGATATTTTGTATATTATTTTTACTGTCTATGTTACTTTTCTAATGTAATTTATGAAAAACAAGGTTACGGTGACATTTACTAATTAGTTAAATGTCACCATACACCAATTATCACCAATTATCCAATTTACGTATAAAATATACCTGAAACGTAACGTTACTTTCGCGTAATTCCACTCGCTTTTGCAAAAATNTTATAAATAGTCCCCCCGTTTAACGACTTGACTGGTGTCTAGAATATAGTCGTTAAGCGAGCCGTCGTAGTGTTTTCATAGGTTTTGGGTAATATATTAGTTTATAATCCCCCAAATTAAATCTTAAACTATAAAATACCATACAGAAATCTCCAAAACAATACGTGCTTAGATGTATAATATCATACGATTAAGAACTTTACACCAGTCGTAATGGCGAGAGGTTGTAAAGCGGAGTATACATTCTTGAAATTTTAATAGTTAGGCCTATATTAAATGCCTGAATTATATATTGTTAACTACTTCTGGTCACTCTTTACGTTAACGTAAGTTATTAAAGTGTCATATTTATTTGTTCTTACTTTTACTACAAGTTTAATGGAAGTATTCGTAACATTTACCATAATAATCCGCACTGAACTGTTAATTAATATTCACTTTTGGTTTCCAGGATATTACCATTGTAAGCCTGGCCTAACCGACATTTTCCCGAATAAAGGCCCTTTAAATGCTCACAGAAAAGAGATACTACTGAGGAAAGACTATGGAATTGTTCGTCCTGTATGAATTTACCGTGTCTTCTTCACATCTAACACCTAAAAAGAAGGTGTTTTTCCATAGAAAGTCCCTCTATCTAGAAAGATTTTATATATGAAAGCTTACAAATTCGATTCGTAATATAATATAAATTCCCCATAAAAGTTCTGAAAATGCTTCCAATTTAACCCCGGATCCAAATAATTCTATACAAGTAGACAATATAATCATATTATATCACACAAACTACATACTTCTGAATAGTTTTAACGTACGTAACAGTAACAATATTATTATTATCATATATTATATTAAAGCATCTAGATATAGATGATATCTAGAAGTCACAACTGACGTTAAGGGAACGATGACACTGCTCTTAATCTTACAAATAATGATAAAAGTAAATTGACTCACCCTAACAATGAGAGCAGTTGGATAATTATAATACTCGTCCACAACATCGTAACAATTATAAATCAAAGACACCAAAGCCATAACAATGACAATGATCCAAATAATCTTTCGTGATAAACTTTGTGAGTATATAATCCTCTTGAATCCATGGGCGCTTGTGTTTTTCATGAAGTAAGTAACGACTTTGGCCATTTTTGTCTCATTAACCATACCTAAATAGTTATCGTGTTGACCTATATAAACGTAAACGATTATAATGGTTTTTCTTAATTTGTTTATATCAAAATACTTATATAGATTTATTATTTTTCGTAAATTTATCGATCCGAGTAAACACCTGGCAATACTTCCTACCATACTTCACCTTATGGGTACATTAATCCAATATTGTATTGTTAGCCTAGTTAATGAAACACTTATCGATTTTTCTGCGCAAACTCTAACAATTGATCTATACCGTGTAAATACAGCGGAACCTCTGAACGACGACCACCGACGGCAACGTAATAAGTGTCCGTTGTTGACAGGTGGAGTTCGAGTGTGTACGAAATGATAGATTTATAAGTTTTTAACTGATTTGACGTTAAAAATTCATAAATTTACAGACTAATTTATAGTTTTTGATGGTTAAAGACTGTCACCCACGTATTGTTTGTATTCAGATGGGTTTCTTTCGTGATAAAGTGGGGTGAGTATAGAGTATACCATATTGGCCTACGTTAATTATAATATATAATAACCATAGCAATAACAGTTAGATCTGATCGGTGTATTAAGAAACTTAATCTATAACATTCTTTCTTATAATATTAGTTATTTCTAAAACTGAAATAATGGTCCTAAGATTGGGAAAGTCTAGCCTCAGGCATGGAGTGCATCCCAAACTAATTGAAAAACTAGACAACAGTAACAGATAGCTGAGGTTATACGATTGATTTACGTGTGTCGAAGCATTCAGTACACAAAATATGACAATTTCATTTAAAAAAATATTGTATATAACCTGTAAAATTACCACTCGATTTCACGTGTTTTAATATAATTGATAGCTTTATATAAAGGTTATTCATAGAAATCAAACTTATAATGAGTTATAATATAGATAATGCCTCGTGTATAATTGTAATTTTAACATTCCTAAAGAATAAATACATTAAATTGTTTAATTTATACAAAAAACTATGTGGTTCTTGCCAGTCCAGGGTGATCTAAGTGTCAAGGCTCAACTTTAAAACAATACCAGTCACATAAATGTGACTGGTATTGTTGAATGTACACAGTTTTCTCGCCTTCTTATGGAAGAAATGGTAACTAAAACATGCACGTAACTGTTTATATTTGTAAAAATTGCGGTATTATTCCACGAAATTGTGTGATAATCGCGTATGTTATAGGATGGAAGTTCATAGAGGTGAGACTGACTTGCGGATCGTTCTGTACTTATGCTCGTATATATAACGATTTATATATGTTATTATAGCACAGATTGGTTTATAATTATATGGAATATAATCACAATTTATTCAAATATTGTGAGAAAAACTGGGGAGGTGCATGGTACTTAAGCTTGACAATTATCTCTTACATGGCACCTACCATCTTAAATTTATATCTGTAGATTAAATTCGTAAATAAATTCTCATATCTTTTTACATATAATAAGGCATTATTTATTAATTTATATTATATTTGTGATAAATTAAAAAGAAAAAATAATAATCTTCTACATTAGAGAAATTCGTTAATAAAAAACCGTGTCTCCATCTAGTGAGTAAAATTAAAAATTTTCTTTTATATTTTAAAACGTTAATTTATTGTTTAAGTTACGTTAAGTTAAAGAATTTAAGTAATTTTGAAATAGAAAAATTGTTTCTTTAATAAATATAATTTAAATAGTCAAGATTTGAAAATTCTGAACCGAGATTCTAATAGAAAAAAAATCACATTAAACTTCTAACGTCATCTGCTAGACAACGCGAGTATATCGCTAATAAAAACAATACAATCGGCCTTAAACATTATGACGAAATGAAAAAGTGACGTATTAATACAATTTTTAAAAGTACACAATAAGAAACAAGATTGCATGCTAATAATTTTATTTTCTTAAATGCGTTAAATTCATATTACATTGTTTAAATTTATAATAATGATGAAATCGATTTAAAATTAGATTACGTATTTAATATTTTGTATTAATTATCAGAATATTTCTTATATCATTCGTCGATTATATCTTCCGCTTTAGGTCTAATGTTAAGCAAAAATTTGTAATGTTTGGAAAAGGGGTTTGTCCAAACGAACCGTCTAATAAAATACTTAAAATATTTTCAACAATCGCTATGACATATGCAAGAAAGACGGATAAATCGTCACAATCTATTTCGTTACTAAAAAGTGAATCAAGATACAGTCCGAGACAATTCAGAAGATCCGTAAGACAATCGTCAATGTAATCGAGACAATCGAAATAAGAAAGCTGAATGAGAATGCAACCCAAATAACTCGTAATATTATTAAGTTCCGGACAGAGCTCGTTCATCGATGCCATTGGATCACTCGGATCCGTACCACAACTATCGCATCTGTCCTTGCGACGAAATCTGTTTAGGGTATCGCTTCTTAAAGAGAGGTCACCAAGTTGGCATTGATCCAAATTTATCATAAGCTGAGAAAAGAAAAAAAAAAAAAAAGGATTATTTTCATAACGTACGACTAATTTTGTTAAACTTCAATTTGTTAATTTTTTTTATAAAAAAACATTTGAAATTGCGTTATAAAGTTAGTAACATTTCTATTAATTCTAATAAAAAGTAATGCCAAGATGTAGAATTAATTAAAGTATTATAAAATTGAATTAATGTGAAGAAATAAAATCAGATATAAAACATAAATATTTAAATATCAAGTAAATTTATAAAATTTTATTATTATTGCGGGTAATAAAATAAATATTTGCAACAAAGAAAAATGATAATAATTTGAAATTTTATTAAAATAAAAAAATATGTAAAACTTACCTTGTTAAAGGTACAATTTAAAAATCCAATAAGGTCCAAGTTCAAATTGCTTAGGAACCCACCAAGTGTGATTAAATCGAGGTTAGTTGGAGTCATTCCAGGCATTCCAGTCATTCCAGGCAATCCAGTCATTCCAGGCAATCCAGTCATTACAGGCATTCCAGATATTACTCGTTTTGAATCCTTTTTTAAATTATATTTGTCCTTCACATTTTTTTCACCTCTCACATTGTCGAAATTGCCTTTATCAAATGATACATCTTTCTTTATTTCTTTCTTAGATGTTTCGCTGTTTGCTACGATTGCAATTCCTAACAAAAAAGTCTTTTATTAATCCTAATTTATGTCTAGTCAAGTTAATTAGCACAATATTAATTAAAAATATAAGTTTAAGCATTGAAAATTAAACATTAAATCATATTTTAAATTGATTTTATTTAAAATATATGATATCCAACTGGAATTAGTAGTGTCCTGCTCCTGTACATCTTCCTTCTTCCTTTAATAACAATAGAGTGGTGCCGGTGGTGCCGATTTTATTTCAATTCAATATCGCCCTTGTAAGGTGTTAGATAGATGTATCTAACACCTTACAAGGGCGATATTGAATTGAAATAAAATGGCTTCCAGTTTTCGTAGGAAATTCGAATATAGTTAACCAAGAACTGCTCTTCCCTTATGTTTCTAAATCCAGTCTTATCTTTCATATAACTAAACCCGTTTTCCAGACTAAAGAGAGACGTGCGAACAGAGGAACAAACAGACGGACCACAGTGAAAATTTATAGGTCTACAATTTTTTAAGTTGCAGCCCAATTATTAGTTTAGAAATTTAAAAATTATAGAAAATATTTAACTTACCAACGAGGACCGATAGAAAGAGGATGGTTTTCATGTTGCTTTCGGTTTGTTGATCGCCGAAATGTGCTTTAACGCCAGTCTTCCATGCCTTTTTATAGGAAAATTCTGCGTAGGATTGAGTAAATTCAGCGCTAATTCTCCTCCTACCTGTCAATCCGAAATTTTGACATTGCAGATGGTATTTTGATTTTCGAATCCAATGAAATTACATTATTTAATTTACGTAGATTTTGCCCGTCCCTTTTCGTTTCATTTCGTATCCGGTGGTAACGCTTTACGGATCTTCACGAAAATATCCTTTAAATCGGCGATAAGAATTACCACAAGTTAGTTTAATTACCATTATAATTATTTTAATATTCTACTAATACATAATGAAACAGCATTAGATTCGTTGTAAAATAATCGCAGCGTATTACTTATATAATAAAGGTTTATATTAATTATTTAATTGAATTTATAAAACAAAACGAATTTCCCCTCGAAGATTCTTTAACTGTATTATAATTAAGACGAGAACTTGCGGTTAATAATTTCATTTTCTATTCTTAAATAAGGAAATAAAGAAAGGTTAATAATAATTTAGATAAAAAGTATACTGAAAAAGGCGTAAATTATTTAATTAAATCGCACTACAATGAATTCGGCGTATCCAAAAACATTTTACAGTTTGTAAGGACAGGAACCTTCTATGATTAACAAATTCATTTACTATTTCCTAAAAAATTTGTACTATCGTTCGCTTGTCCGTCCATTTATAATCTCGAGAAGGAAATTAGATACATTAATGACGAGAAAGACATAGAAACTGTACAAGCAGTAGGACCCGATTAACTATTTAGAAACTTTTGTTGCAAACGGAACTTTATTATAATCAAATACTTCTCCCATGAAATGTGTTAGTGGATGACAGGCACGACTCTGTAGCTGAAGGAAAAGTATCACGTACTAATACAAGTTATCACTAATTTGAGGTGAGAGCATATATTTTAAATTAAATTAATTAATAATACCATTAAAAATTTTAATTAAAAGTAATTTTATTAGTTGTGAAGCTTATTTTTATTTAATTAAATCTACTATAATACTTTACTAAATTACTAAAAATATTTTAAATCTCTATTGAAAAAGAGATATAAATGAGAATTTATGGTACAAAATAAGGTTTAAGTTTTAATATCTCAGTTATTTATCAACCATAACTTTTTTTTATAAGTTTATAATTTTAATATATTTAAAAATGTATTAAAATTTTAAAAATGTGAATATATATATTTGTATAAGATTAATAAAATATAAACCTTATTTATAATTATGTGACTAGATTTGTTTAATAAATGAACATAGAAATAATGGAAACATCTGGGACGATTGTTCTATGCCACGTCATCAACGAACTGACTTTTTTCAAAGGTAATTATCGATTATGTTTTGTTAATTAAGATAAAATAATATATTTAAGTAATTTAAAATAAAAAATATTATACTTTAATGTAGATAATATAAATACTGCAATTGTTTAGAAGTTTTAAATACAAACACTTTAATACTTAATAAAATTTAAGTACGATCATCTCGAATACCTTTTAAACGTGTAATATATATTAGAAAATACATTTAAGTGTTATAATTATATATTATAAGCTATAAACGTATGTATATTATAAAAATATCAAACGTATATGAAACAAATTGTTATAAATGTTTAGTAATAAAAGTATTTATTTAACAAATGAATTTATATTAATATTTCGAGCCTAATTTATATAATAATAATATTATTTAGATAATAAGAATTAAATTTATTTGAATATAATGATTTTTTGAATGCAAAATTATATTTACGAAATGTGTGAATGCAGTTGTTAAAAATACACCTGTTGTTTACCTACTAAAAACATTGGGAATTGGAAGCTAAATAATTGGATTTAAAATAATATTTTAAATAAATATAAACTTAATTTTGTAATTATATAAAATTATTATAAATTAATTACTAATTACTAAATAGTTTTTATATTTTTCTAAACTGAGAAAACAAGTGTAACACTTTATAATATGGATTAACTTTTGTATATGTAATTTATTCTAGAATAACAAAATTTATATTAATATTTAAGGTTTTAATTAATATTTCAATCGTTTAATTTAAATATAAAAGATTGAATTTATTTGAATAATTAAACATGATTTTATTCGATGTGAAGTAGATGTAACTAGAAAATATGTAAAAGCACCTGTGTTGCTTCCATGTTGAAACTGGGAATAACTAAAGAAAAACTTCGAATTAAAATAATTTATAATTTAATAATTATTATAAGATAATTTTAATTTATTATTTTCTCTAATACTAAATTTGAAATAACAATAATAATTTATGAGAAATTTAAGTAATTTTTTCTTGAACTAAACACTTTATTATATTGGCCAGTTTAGATAGAATAATACATTTAGTATTGTCCTTAACATTATGCAATTATTTAAATATAAATATTAAATTATGTAAATGTAAAAACATAAATTGTTTTAAATAAATTACTGAAAGTATAGTGTAAGTATTTTTTTAATAATGATTGTTATTTTCTAAATATTTTAATTTGCCAGATAAAGTATCTAGAATACAAAGTAATACACACAATGATTGATCTTAAACTTTCGTATTTAGTGGTGTTCTGTGTTTATGGTCGTGTTAAGTTTCTTGATGATTGTTGTTTTTCGGACCATTTTCCTTTGGTATTTTGTTTGGACAACCTATTGCAACTCTAAGTGAATAATAGTGGCAGTTTTTATAAAAAAATTTTTCTGGAATTGCGAAGTTATGAACAGTTTTGTGTGTGATCTTGAGAAACATTTGTCAAGAAGAGTGCCTTATCATACGTAAGTGTGAGAATCTGGAGCATGAGACAATATTGTTGTTAAATTAATACGTGAGATAGAACAGATCGCGCGAGTTTACATTTTCATGAGATAGTTACTGGCAAAAGGGAATAACACCTCACTGTGTATATTTTCCTGTTGAGAAATCGAACCTCACACGTAGAGAGCACAGCAGCAGACATGAAGCAGCGTTAGTTTTCGTCTCACAGGAAAGTTTCCACCTCCAATTGGAGAAGGTTTACGAGATAAAATAGAGAGAAATCCGAAGTTTACGGCAGACACTCCTCTCAAAAAATATGAACCAAATTTCTGCCGGTCAAACACTCGCCTCTCAGTTCGTATTTTCATCTTGCCTCCGAATCAATCTCCACAGAAATTCCCCAGCTACTAGGCCGAAGCCAACCACTATACGAAAAGACACCTGTCTACACACAAGAAGTATTATACTTAACTCATTGTAAACACACGCTCTCTCTCTCGATATATTAGCTGTTAAGTAGCTAGCTTGTCGATTTTAACCTATTTGTATGTAGGCTATTCACCCAAGACTTTACCATACTTATTAAATTTATTGTTTTGTTTAACTGCTGTCAATATCAGTTGTTTTAATGACTGGTCACCTATCGACTTGTCCGTGACACCTCCCACTCGAATCCAAGCCGTCCAGTCACAACGTGAGCGAGTCTAAACGTCCCGTCCCCGCAAGCAAGTCAGAGTAACAATCTCTCTAACCCGCGACTTCTCACATTTGTGGTGTCAATAGTGGGATGTTTGATAGGCATTGACTGCCTCACCCAGGTTTTCAGGAGTTTAAGTTCTTTTTCTGTTCCCCACAACTGAAATCTCATATTGGTGCCCAGGGAGTTCGACCACATCTTTCTGATAAACCACATATTAGTTATTTAAAGTGAGGTTGTTAAATCGATGGGCATTGTCCGCCGAAGACAGGTTTGGACGCCATAAACAAGTTTTTTCTGCCGAAAACAGGTTGTGGCCTACTTTGAATTATTAATAAATAAGAGTAAAACATATGATATAGTAAGTAGCATATAAGATAAATTTCCGCCCAGGAATGAGAAAATTCTCGAGCAACACTAGGCGACTAGGTGGCATGATTCCACTGCTTCCCGGATTCTCGTAAAACCCCAATGTGCCCAGCACCACCGACTTCTTTGAATCCTTAACAGACTGGTGGCATAGACGTAAACTCTAATGCTGGCTGTCGCTCGATTGAAATTGTACGAAATCGCATGGAGATTTGCCCAATAGAGCAAAAAGTGTAAATACAGAGATTTCAATTTCTTCAAACGAGTAATGATCGAGGGGTTCGTGAAGGAACCCTATTCGTTGAGATTGAACAAAATTTTAGGCCTGTTTGCAGCAGAGGGAAGATGCTGTGTAGACATATGCTGTACGGCTTCAATACCTGGCCACTGAAATATAGAGTAGGAGCGGATTCTGCAGAAGCAGCAATTATCCAAAGAATTCAAAGTAGAGAATTGGGTAAAAAAGTGAATGTTTAATTTTTAAATGGCAAAAATACTAAAATTTGACAACAGGTAATGTCCAGGGAGGCTACCACATTAAGCGAGGCATTGAGAGCAGAAATAAGTGAAGAAACGATAGGAAATTTTAACGCGATAACCTAAAACACAATGAGAATTATAAAAAAAAGTCGAAAGGTCCAGAAACGACTGAGACCAGTTGACAGCCGCCGTAGACAAGTTGCAAGAAAACTTGGAAGATCTAAGTAGAGAATCTTCCCGAAGGGAAAACATTAATTAATAAAATAGTAGACAGGATAGCCAGTTTTTTGAAAGGATTTATTTTCATCTAGGCAGATCCCAGTGCTCAGAGCAATAGAAATAGGAATTTTTGCCCAGTGTACAGGCGGAGAAGGGACTCACCCACTTATTGCCAAGGAACACAGTTGGAAATAATCCAGAAATTAATCAAACAATATAAACCAGTGGAAACAAGGTTAAATTTGTCCCATGTTCAGAAATGAAAGAGGAAAACCGATGGACAGGACAGTTAACTTTGGTACGGATGAAACGATCCAATAATCCTGTGTTATGTTAAGTTATTTATTAAACCGCACTTAACTAATTTTTACAGGAAAACATATATATTAGACACCCCTAATAAAAATTATTTAGCATTAATTTTAAGGTTTAAATTTGTAAAAAAATTTTAATTATTACCCATTATAAATGAAATTATTTTAATATCTGAAATATCTTAAATAAATATAAGTTTTTAAAATATATTAAATATGCAAAATTAACGAAATATAAGCTTTACTTTTGATTAGGTGAATGCTCGGTTAAGTAAATGAACTTAGAAATAATGCAAAACATCTAAAGAAA